CCAGGCTCGATGGCTCAGCCTGTCATCCCAGCACTTTGGGAGGCCCAGGCGAGTGGATTGCCCGAGCCTGTGGGTTCGTGACCAGCCCAGGCAACTAGGCGAAACCTCATCTATACAAAAACCAGCTGGGCACAGTAGCATGCACCTGTGGTTCTGGCTACTTGGAAGGCTGAGGCAGAAGGATCACCCGAGCCCAGCGGGTTGACACTGGGGTGGCCGTGAGCCTGCCACTGTACTCCAGCTTGAGCAACAGAGTGAGACTCCAACTCAAAGAAAAAAAAAAAGTTGCTCATTTTCTGGGTTTTTTTAATCTCATAAAATATTACTGATTTTGTGAAGACTATATCCTCAATTTATTAATTTCCTGATTTATAGATAGAGGCTTATTCTCAATTAACGAGCACCCGACTTTTGTCTTTTTCGATGTTTAAACGCATGTATAGACTGTGCCACCACAACGCTCAGGGTATAGAACGGTTTCATTACCTGAAAAGACTCTATTTTGCTGCTGCTCTGCTGTCACACTCTCCACCGCCACTAACCCCTGGCATCCACTGATCTGTTCTCTATCACTGTGGCTTAGTCTCCTCCAGAATATTTGTATAAGCAGAATCATGCAGCGTATAACTTTTTGAAACTGGCTTCTTACATTCAGCACAATGCCTTTGAGAGTTATCCAATTTGTTGTGTGTATCCATATCCGCTCCCTTTTATTGACAATTCCATTATTTGAATGTACCATGGTTTGTTTTTGAAAGGTGTATAGTGGTATCCCACTGTGGCTTTCATTAGCAATTCTGCAAAAATTAGAAATGTTCAATATATTTTTGGGGGTGTGAGGAGGGTTTGCCATTGTCTTTTTCCAAAGCCATTTGGGAGTATGACATTATCATTAGTCTCCTGTATCACTAGGAGAAAGCTCCAAATGGCACAGAGTCGTTTATATCTACAAGTTCAGGTCCAGTTGCCCTTGAATATCTTATGAGCTTATCTGCCATCTCTACATTCTCTTTGGTGAAGTGTGTGTTCATGTCTTTTACCCACCTCTTAATTGGGTCATTTGTTTTCTTACTGTTGAGTTTTGAGAGTTTCTTACATATCAGGGATACAAGTCCTTGGCTGATAAGTGATTTGCAAGTATCCTCTCCAAGTGTGTAGCTTGTCTTTTCACTCTCTTAACAGTGTCATTGGCAGTGCAAAAGCTTTTCATTTGTTGAAGTCCAAGTTATACTTTTATTTTATAGATTGTACTTTTAAGAGTTATGTCTAAGAATTCTTTGCCTACCTACCCATAGGTCCTAAAACTTATTTTCCTATTCCTTATTTTACAAGTTTACAGTTCTAAGTTTTACATTTAGATCTAAGTTACTTTTAATTTTTTTTCTCACTCTGTCACACAGGCTAGAGTGCAGTGGCATGATCATGGTTCACTACAGTCTTGAACTTCCTCTAGGCTCAAGGGATCCTCTTGCCTCAACTTCC